GAATTATATCATATTATATATAGCTTGGTAACCGTATGTCACTAAAACATGCATGTTTAATGTATCAATTCCTACTAAATGAGAAGTCAACAATCAATTGCAACTAATTTAAAGGTCACCAGAGGTTAAGGTTATGACCGCTTATTACAAGGTCGTAAGATTTTCAATCGAAATTCCATAATTTCTCAATTACCAAATGTTACAGAAACGTGTTCAGCGTGCCAATAATGTCTTGTAAATGGGGTCCTGTTTATCATTTGCAACTATTTCCAAAATCTAGGAGGTACAGGATTGACCTTATTGCAAGGTCATCATGAAATTTAATGAAAATTTGATTCTAGGGTGATCTAAGTACAACACATAAGATTGTTTAAGAGCAAAATATGCATCTCCATTTTTTATGACAAATGTTACATTTTATAGAGCGACCTGAGCCCATTGTTGTTTGATGTAAATACTTCATTTTAACACCGGTACTATTGGCATAAGCTCTCTTCTTGTCTGCCCAATGATTGACCTAAAGCCTTCTTGTCCCACCTTTGTATGTATGATCTACTTTGGAGTATCTGTGTGCCATTGTAGAGAGGAGATAGTGGATAAAGCACATTTATTTGCCCATTTAATCATTATCTGTATTTGGTTGCTTTTATGACAACCAAAGGCTATCCATTACTGAATTGCCAATGGTAAAATGTGTTGATTCTTAATGGTTGATTCAATACCTATAGCTCCGACTCTGCTCCATCATGGATGGGTGAGGTCTAAAAGCTATACCCTCTCCCAAGCCTACTGAGCATGCTGTCGCAAGTCGATACTTGGGTTAATTGGGTAATTTTAATGTGCTGAGTGGAAAATTAGTTACTTGTCTTGTGTAAAGACAAACTTGTAGATGGTGCCCTTTTCGGCATCTGTTTTCCTAAATATCCCAATTCTTGGTCCTGCAGTGGGATTCTGAAATAAGCAGCAGGCCACTTGCTGGGGAGAACTTGTTCACCACAAGTGAACTCTCTATTAGAGAGTGTAATATGTTTTGGTCGACAAACTTTAAAGCTGCTGTTTTTTGGTGTGCTCATCTGTGTCAAAAGTAGTTATATGTTTTCATATCATGCCAGCTCCTGTCAGATTGGAGAACTAGTACTGAGACATGATCGCAAACTGGAAGTTTTTATCAGGTCTGTTAGGATAGGAAACTGGCTACAGGCTCTCACCATCATCCTTCGTTTACTTTGCTCCATCTCATTCGACAGTCATTATGACAAGATAGCAGTCTCAAAAGGGGGGAGGGGGGCTTTTTCTGAAAAAAGTGGACCTAGAAATATGTGTGTACCTAGATAAAATTTTACCCAGAATGCCACTGGCTACAGACCTGTATATGATGGTCAAAGCACCAAGGACAAAGGACGTACAAACAGTTGTAGCTGTGGGCGAGGATCTAACACGTATGTAAAGGACTTTGTATCCTTCAGTTTGAAGCTCATCATGTAACTAGTCTCATGTAACTAGCCTTCTAACAAATATCAGTTGATCAGGTGGTAATAAATGCTTATTGTATGTTGTGCATTAATGCAGACTGCCTTATCCTCAAGTTGCATTGAAGTAAATAGTCCAACTTATCTGCAGAGGACGCATTTGCCTTTTAACCACTGTCCATCATGCAGTCAAATTGCTCCTTGAATTTGTCCAGGAAAATGTATTTCTTCTCTGAAAGGGACTCTTTTATTTGACCCATACCCCACAACTACATGTAGACCTACTGTTAGTATAGAGACCCACAGCTAGCAATTGTGATAAACTTGTGGCTAGTAAGTTTGAAGATTTGAGAGAAGCACTGGAAGTGTATATCAATGAGAAATCAACATTTGATGGTTTTTAAAAGCTGGAGAGAAACGGTTACGGATGTTCAAATGGTGTAGCAACCTGTCTTCTGGGCAAGAAGGTAAATACCATAAAAAGGTGCCATTCCACCTGGTTATTTCCCCCCCCCCCCCCCAGCCTGTGGCCAATATGAAACGGCCTCATTTCTAATTCTATAATATTTTATCTAAATGTTTATGTACCCAAAATGAATTAATTCCCCCATTGCAGTATTATAGAATGCTGTAATATTCCAATTTTTATATGTCTTATGTGAGGCTACAATGGTTATTGTGTAATAGGCTGTCTTTGCCCAGTATGAAACAAGTTTATGTCATGTTATTAAGCTTTAAAGGTCTCCCACATGTATCTGAAGTTTTTGAAGAAATGAAATTGCTCGACTCCTCCCTGCAATAGAATAGGAAGTTTTGAACAATGTAGTTCTGACATATAGTGGAATATTCACACAAGGTTCAGGTACTTGATGTTTTTTTTTTTTACTTTTAGTTCCTGTATAATGTAAAACACAGCTTTATTTAAACATATATCTGTATAACACTTAGTGATTTTGAAATGGGTACAGTATACCCTTAAGCCTTGTAAACCGAATGTCATTGATTTAAATGAGTACCATGCAGTAGTGCCGATGCCTTTTCTGTAATGAAATATTCTTTAAACAATCACCTGTGTTGTTTTTGATTAGTGTAAAATCAATTTTTCTTAAATGTTATAACAACCTTGTTATAAGGATATGACCCTGACCGCTGGTGATCCTAGGAATAGTTTCAAATGATCGGCAATATGTAACTAAGTATGAATCGATACTTTCAACATGTTTCTGTGACATAGGGTTATCAAAATATAGACATGATGGCATTTTGTTCAAGCTTAAAATGCCATGACCTTGAAAATAAGGTGATGACATTGACCTCTGGTGGCCTAGAAAGCATTTACAAATTATTCGCAGAACCTCACTTAGTAGGAAATGATATTTAAACATGCTTCTGTGACATCCAATTACAAAGGTTTAGATAATATGGGAATTTTCTGCTCGAAAAATGCAGTGTCCTTGAAATTAGGGTCATGACCTTGACCTCTAATGACTCTGAATAAATTTGCAAAAGATTGGTGGTGCATTATTCAATAATAGTTAAGACTAAATTATGTTTTTGTGACATTAGGTTACCAATGCTCGCAAAATGTATAGATCTTGTGATTAGGTCATGACCTTGACCTCCTTTGACCTTGAAAGTGGTTGCAAAAAATTGGGGATCCCTCACTTAGTAGGAGTTGATACTTTAAATGTGTTTCTGTGACATTGGGAAACTGTCATATAGACATTATGAGTTTTTTTCTCCAAAAATACCTTGATCTTGTAATAAGGTCATGACCTTGACCTCCAGTGACCTTGAGACTAGTTGCAAAAGATTGGGGATCCCTCACTTAGTAGGAGTTGATACTTAAAACATGTTTCTGTGACATTGGGTTCCCAAGTTATGGATTTCAAGTCCACCCACCCCATTCAATAGCGGCCATTTTGGATTTTTGTGGAAAACGAGACTTTGCCATGGGGGGATTCATGGGGGAAATTTTTTGGGTTATATTGGGCCTTCAACGGACCAGAATCAGTTGAGAAACCTTTGTCACCAATTTTTTCCAACCTCAATGGGGAAAATATGCTCGTTTACTGGCCTATACAGTACATGTTTAGATTTTTATGTAAACTACACTTTCTGTGTGCGTATGTATGTTGTCCATAAGATGAAATTGAGGTATTTCCGTGTAGGTTTCAAAGAAATTGAAGGAGTTGAAGAGAGAAGTTTAGGGTTAAATGTAATATTTAACATGAAAATTGTCAAACAATCATGTGCCAAAAGACTTCGCGAAGGAAACTACATGTCGCTGATTAGACTACTGGTTCAGAGAGAAAAGGGCGACAGTTTTAGGGAGCGTTCAGATAAACCCATCATACTAGTTGGATCGATAATGGATCTTTATGTTTGCAGAGTACCAACACGGCTGTCCGAAGGGCTGGAGGGAAAGCCCGTACAGCAACTTCTGCTTCAGTTTCAGCAGTTACTCTGATAGGAAAACGTGGCGTGATGCGCGCGCAGATTGTGCTTCCCAGAATGCAGATCTGCTCTCTTATTCCTCAGAATGCGAACAGGTAGGTAATTTACGGTTACCCCTTTCTGCAATTTTTCAAAAAGTATAAAAGGAATAATATACAACATTATGGGAGTCTCTAATATTGAAATAGTATACACGTAAAATGTTAAATAATACTGGGTTTTCTTTCAAAATGCATTAAAATGATAATAATTATCATTTTGTTGTTTTTGTTATTTTATTATCATTATTATTCTTATAGGTGTCATATTTTGTATTTCATGTCGGATACATAGCAATGGCTAACTCAACAAATGCTCAACTATGAAAAGAGAGATTCTCGTTTAAACAAGTGGTGGTCTAGCTTTATAAACATCAGAGGGAGTTGGGAATGGGCAGAGAAAAATGGCGACAGATCACTGGCGTAAGTTGTCTTATACTTATCTCTGACGTCCTGTAAGATGCATGTCAGTAGAGTACTATTCTTAATGATTGTCGGTAAGATTCGGAATATCATCGATAACTCTAGGAATTTCTTTTCCCACACCAGGGTCTGGAAAGAGGGACCTCGCTCCAAACGCCGCTGTGGACTTGTGAGCGGGTCGTGGGGCGGGCGGCTAACTCAAGGCAATTGTGCGGGGAAATTGCCTTATATCTGTAAGGCTAAAAAAGGTAGGTCAGCCACAGCCTGCAAGTAATTTGCATACATCATGTACAGCACACGGGTTTTGAAATTTGGTCTTGCAAGTGCTTAATCTTACCAATGAATTCCAATGCAAATTAAGTCCTTCGTGTTGGATGTAGGGCAGAATTTAGCCTATAAATGTGTGTAGCCTTTTTCATTAATAGGTACAGTAGCAACCACAGTGACTTCAAAGACCAAGAAACCTCCAATAATTACGACCCGTAGGAAGACGTGTCGTCCAAAAGTAACATCAGTTGCCACAAACTTCCTAAAAATTACAACCCAAAGGAAGACTAGGCGTCCAAAAGTGACGACAGTTGCCACGAGACCCACGCCAAAAAAGTTGACGACCATGTCAACAACTTCAACTAGTACAGAGAAGACAACAACGTCACAGCTAACGTTAACTAGCACAAAGCACACAACAACGTCACTGCCAAAGTCGGCTAGCACAAAGAAGACAACAACGCCACAACCAACGTCGACTAGCACCAAGCAGACAACAACGCCACAGCCAACGTCGACCAGCACAAAGCAGACAACAACGTCACAGCCAACGTCGACTAGCACAAAGCAGACTACAACGTCACAGCCAACGTCAACTAGCACAAAGCAGACTACAACGTCACAGCCAACATCGACGTCAACTCTGCCGTCTTCGCCGCACATTACTTTTACTACTACTACTGCTGCTACTACTATTACCAGTACCACCGAAAAGGCGTCAATTGTGACTGCTCCAAAAGGTAAGGACTTTGGAAACTGGTGTATGTTAACGTTGAAATTGATAAATGTGTTTCCCAACCTTGTTATTTATTTATTTATTTAATTCACATCTTTATTTTGTGCTTGCGAATGCGCACGTGTGTGTAATTAGATGTGTACGTGGAGGAATGCCGGTGTTATTCTCTAATATATTTTGGCGCGTGTGCGAAGTTTGTCTATCCGTTAAAAGAGACAGTGTCATCATCTCTATTTCAGACCGCTGCGTAGACAACAATGTATTGTACAGCCAAAATGAGAGATGGGATGTTGGTTGTGAGAAAAGCTGCATCTGCATTCAGCCTTTGTTGAATTTCATCTATTGCGAACCTTTGTACGTTAAAATCTTTAGCTTCATGTCTTTATGTGGCATCATTAAAACATTTATTACCAGTTGCCTAGTATAACATTTATAATGAATTTACTATGAATGCTTTTTTTAGAGACTTGTTCCACTGTTAATTTGTATGTTCAGTTAACACAGTTGTCACGTAATGTCAATTTGACACGCAATTTTAAGTTTTATTTTTATTTCAGGTGTCCTGATTGGACGGGCAAGGTCCCCCCTGGATGCGTCTTGAAACCCCCGAAACCTGGTCGATGCTGTCCCGAGTTAGACTGCAGCAGCCTTACGCCACCACCATAAACTTACTTATTGAATATTTTAACTCATATCACTTTTCATTGGCCGAAATAAGTCCATTAAGTCTACAAATATTTTTTCAACATCACGAAACGTGTGATATTATGGAAAGTATATAAATAACCAGTAGATTGACAACTGATTAAAATATCTCCATGCTTTTTGTATACGAAAATCTTTGGCGGTCCAAGATATTGTGAAAGGTTATAGAGAATTTATTTACTACCAATGTATCGATTTATGGTTGAAAGACTTAAATCAACTAGTAGTTCTCATATTTTATCACCGGAACACACATTAACCGTACTGTTACTCAGACTCAAATATACTCCTATCACAGATTAGTGGGTTCATTTGTTTTCATATCAGACTTTGTCATAGGACTCTCCCCACTATACGCCTACGTTCACTTTCCGTCGACAATTTAGGATACCTACTTAGAACGAAAATAAAAGTTGGAAAATGAACTTGGTCCACCCATGATGTTCATGAAATGTCGAATTGTTCTTCATATGTTTGAGAATTGCTCCATAAATGTAGCTTGTTCTCGTATAAGAAAGCCATCAGAGATAATGCGGTGTAGGACTACTTTTTGACTTTTAATTGTACGTAAGACAAACACCACAATCCTCACATCTATAGGCTATTATGACGGTTATCATGTTGATAAAAATAATCGAGTTTCATTCATAATTTGTTCCACCACGGAGCGGCTGCGGTCACATCAGGCAATTACGTCACAAATAGCGTATCAAACCACGTGTTGCCGAGTGATTGCAGTATATAAGGACAATGCATATGGCCAGAAATGTTAAGTACTGCCCCGTGTTCTGGCGCGTGTCGTGTAAAGGACCCACTTCTTGCCTTTGTACCTGTCTAACTCGGTCTTTTGGGCATCGTAATTCGTTTAGTAGGATAGTACTACACCGTACGGCATGCATGCCCCTCTGCTGCGTCTTCTTCTTCTTGCAGTCTGCACCGTCCATCTCGCGCACACGACAGATGTTAGAAAGATAGTGAAGACAACTATCTGTTGGAGGAGAAATAGTCCAGGGAAATGGATATGTCAAGGGAAGCATAGGCAGACCACTGCGCGTCCTACCAGGGCACACCGAACAACGCGCCCAACAACGCGTCCAACAACGCCCCCAACAACGCACCCGACAACACAGCCAGCATGTAAGACAGGCAGTAAGTGAAAGTGAAAAAACGTCATTTATACACTAGCATGTATACCAGGTAGATTTTATGTACCCAAAAGGTTGGTAGAAAGCTCAGAATTTAAGAACAACCTCCCACTCGAAAATGAAAAGTTGCAATTGCCTTGCTCTGGTTTACAACGTACATGTACATGAATGTATGACAACAGTCGTTAAATATAATATGGTCCCTGTCTACGTGCGTGTGTCTTTGTCAGTGAGATTAAAAAGAGGTATTTTTCATAGAAATAAAGGAAATAAAAACAGAAGTTTAGGTTAAGATGGTATATTTAACATCAAAACAAGTCATGTTCCTAGTAAGTAAAGTTAGTAAAGACTCCGAAAAAGGAAGCTGACATGCCTGCGATGAGACAAAAAAGAAAAAAAAAAGAGAGAGAAAGTACGACAGTTCCTCTATGTTTAATTATCCACAAGGACTCTTCTAAACTGGCCATTTTCTAACTGACCAGTTGATGCTACGACCCATCTAGGGTCCAAGGTTGATGTAACATCACCGCTGGGTCATCAGAACTAAAGTCCAGTTTTGATGCCCGTGTTATCCTGTAGGTTTACCGTTATGAACCATGTGACAAGCAAAGGTGTCCATTATCTGTGATCGTTACACAGACTGTCAACAATGCCCCTTAAGTCAGACAGAACCTGTTCACAACATTGATAAACGGTGAATTCAGAAGAGGCACGTCCTCCGAGACCCCATTCTGTCATTTCCCTACCCTCTCTGGTTCTCCCCCCCC